TTAGTTACACCATATTTTAATAGCGCCACCTTTCCACACCTTGTTTGTAAATCTATGCTGTTAGTTACACCCTCGGTATATGTGAGTGGTATAATCTGTGCATGAAGTTCTGTGAAAACACAGCCTCAATATATCTCACTCATATAATCTTAATGTGTGCAGGCATGGTGTCACTGTATATAGCAGATGTAGGCTATGTATGATTACTCAGTATATGTGACTGATATCTCTGTGTATAAAGTGCTTTTAAGAAAAACCCACAATGTATATGATTAGTATATTCTGTATGCAGGTTGGTATTATATAACCCAAATTTATACACAGCCTTAGTAGATTTAATACATGCAACTGATCTAAGGTCTGTGTTTTGCGCTGAAATGTAATACAGCCCAATTCTACCAAAACAAATGCACTGTTGTACAGTAACTATTGCCTACTGTGGATTTTCTATTTCAGTTTTTTAAATAAAGTAGATAAGAGAAGCATACTGCCTTTTGGCTTTGCGTTAGATTTCTTCTCCCACAGGTGTTTCAGGATAAGCAATCAACACAATTAACCACTTCAGCTAGATTGCAGGTGTTACTGAACCTGTCTGAGTGCCTCTCCCAGGAGAGATGGAGACCTGATTTCCAAAATGGAGCATGGGAATGTTCAACAGAGTTAATGCTTTTTTTTTTGTGTGCACACCTATGTATTTATACATGAGACCATTCTACAAAAGTTTTTCTATTGCCACGTATCATCTCCACTCTGATCAAAATAGGGTATGTTTTTTTCAAGTTTGGTGGCAGTGTTTAATCTTCAGATATATGATGATTACAGATGCACAGCTTAGTAGATCTTGCTGGTTGCAGGAGCACAGCTTAGTAGATCTTGCAGGAGCACAGATTGGGCTAATTATTGCTCCCATGAGTAGGTAACTCTGAAGCAATTACCTGACTGTTATCACTGGTATATTTATTTTTTCTTTCATAATTCTAATTTAACTGATTTAAAAGCTGTTGATATTGGCTTTTTCTTTCACCTGGTCATATCGTTAGTATCATTTTATTTTCTGCAAGCTTCTACTCTGAAAAATTCTCTACTCCTTGTCTGGTTTATAATTTGTATTCAGATTTTACCTCAATGCTCTGGAATTGGTTTAACATATTCTTTAAAACTAAATACATCTCCTTAAAGCATAATCTTTATAAGTTGGAGAATGTACTATTTTTTTTTTTTATATTCAGTATTCTCTTTTAATCCCTTGGGGACCTGGAAGTTTGGCAATCCCTTTAGTATGTCAGGGGTGGCATGCTTTTGGTTCTTGATTAATGATCAGAATTTCCCACAGATTCCCCTGTTGTGAAGGGGAACACTATAATTTCCTTTCTGCAATAAAAGGTATCGTTTAGACTCATATGCTCCAGGTAACTTTGTTGCTGTGTATTGCAAGTATTTTAATTGCCATTGGAAGCTCTTTCTAGTCCCCAGACCGTTCTACCAGGTTTACTATTTCAGGTAAAATTCACCTGCTACCAGAACAATAGAGGAAATCCCTGAACATGAAGTTCTATTACGGACCTCTGTTCTAATATTCATGGGCATACTTGTAGGTGTCCTTATATCTGGAATTTGCCACCAATGTGTGGCTTTAAGCTGTTGAGTAATCCTGCATAATAATGTAGCTTTTGGTGACAAACATTTGGCTCATATGTTTTACATGGTCTCTGTACCTAGATCTGTGTAAGTGATGGTCACTCCTAACATTGCATTGATGCAATACTTGTGGATTAAATGCTTGGATTGGTGTTGATATCTTTACAGAGAAAACAAGCTGCAGAATGATCTTATTATCACCATAGGCTCTGCCATGAGTACTGCATCACTATTTGAAGATAAGGTCAGAGTAAGTATGCGGTTGTTTGTTCTCATAAGGATAACTGAATATCTTCTTCTATCCTGCTTATTATGTGTCTGTTGCCACAATGGATCATGTGTCTCTGGTTACCACCTTCTTATCAGTATCCTGCTGATTACATATCTCCTACTTATATTGCATAACATTCTCTAATAAATTTGATTATACTGTTTGGCATAATCTGTACTATTTACAATGTTTATCTTTTGAATGTAGTTACTGATGTGATTGGCCTCCTTATAATTTCCTAGTTGCAACAAATTCTACGGTTAATACCAATGAAAGTCCACAAGATGATCTGTTTTAGAAGCTGGAATAAAAGTTATATTTTAAAAGAATTCCGAGAGTGCAACCAACTATTTTTCTATTTGGATATTTAAGCCCTGGCACTGCACCCGGTTTAAAATATTTTGGAGCCTGACTGCAAGGTACAGTCTATTTTTATTATATATATATACACACTCTCTATCGGAAAAGAAAAAGGACCCTTATATAATTTTTTTTTTTATACTGATCTGTATATGATTCTTCTTGACTGCCTAGTAATGTTATTGGTTACTACCTCTCCTGTAACTGATCATTACTGTATCAATTCATTCACAGTGTGAGGTATGGTTGTGAGTCTGACTTTTGCAATATATAGTCATTGTTGCAGTGTTTTAATAACACTCTTATTTTTCTACTAGGCTCTGCCTCTTTATGACAGGCAGATATTGATTTGTTTCCTGTATCTACAGGTAAGTAGTTCACTAGGCAAAATGAAGCAATGTGGTTCGTCTTTTTAATAAATACATCCAGAAAGTAGTAGGATTCTCAGTGTAATTCTCCCACTGTTTAATATTATGGTGTGACTGTTCTCATCCAACAGTATCTGCTTGCTCCAGAAGTTATGCCTTCTGTCAAGGTTCTGATTTGATGATGCCATCCATTTGGTTTTACATTTATATCTGAGAAGGACATTATCTCTTATTGTTGACATAATGGATCTATAATTTCTAGACCATGTCTGGGATTCATGGAGGTTCTCTACATTTATTTTTATTTTTTATCTGTAACAAGATGGGTTCCTTATTTCTTACGAGAGTTTGTCTTGTATTTGTCTAGCCTTGTTCCTTCTCTAGGTTTGGCTGTCTCTAGATAGTTTTTAATACATTGCTCAACACAAATACACACACCAGTCAAGCCATAAGACTTGCTTTTCACACAGAAATCTCATTTTAACAGTGCTCTCACTACTGCAAGGGATTCTGGGTAGGCATACGCAAATGAGCTCAACAAAGAACAAAATGTTTGCCTCATAATTTCACTTTTATACATGGATTCCTTGAAGTATGTGTCTGCTGTATACAACAGCTTTAAAACACAACTCAGGAAGAGGTGCAATGCTAGTGAACCTCTCATGGACAGCTGTTTCATTATTAATGCAGCTCATCAGCATGAGGCTGGTTACTGGCTTGCTATTGAGGCTTGGTAGTGCTTAGGAAGCAAAAACTAAGAAGGTTTTTGCTTCCCAATTCATTCATTAAATATATATTTCATAAATTATCTATATCACGTGATAACAATAGGTCGTTTACTGATCCAATATATAATAAATGTATTGTTACAGATTCTTCATGGATGATATCATCTTTGGGATATAGTACAAACTTCAAACTTATTCCATGTCAATCAAAAACAAATAAAATGCTTTACATACAGGATTAGAACTTGAAGAGTGAGACATCCCACAATGCATCATGTTAATTATATGAAATTATAATTAGGGGAAGATTCTGGTATCTTGTAAACAACTGTCTCACGTTGACTATTCATGTTTCATTATGTGTGAGGAAAAAAAGTTAATTATGTTTAATTAAACAGTCTCTGATTTCTTTGATATGATGTGCCACTTTTCTTTATTTTGTTTTTAATCACTCTCTCGCTATTAGATGTATAATTGTAACACCTTGTATTGCTGAGATTTGAGCACTTTTGTAAATTCTATTTAAACACTCCTTTTTATTTAACTCCTTGTTAACTTTTATAAATTTGTTTTAATAACTTTTTAAAGGGAAGTTAGGAGAGAAAAGGAAGGGAGAGTTAGGAGAGGAGGGAGATGAGAATATGCATTGAGATTTAAAGCGGCACTGTCATGCCGAACTTACCTTTCCTCAATCTCTTCCTCTTCTCCCCCTCTCTCAGGATCTGTTCTTCTTTTCTTCCTGTCTTCTTTAGTTTTCTTTAAAATCATAAGACAAAGTAGGGACTCTTTGCCTTATGGAGGATTCCTCCGCTTGACCAGCTCTGACCAGCGGAGGAGCAAAGTGTGCTTCATTTCCGCTGGTCAGAGCAATTTTCCCATAATCCCTAGCTTTCCTCAGTGTTCCCACAATGCTTCCTGTCATTTTACACTAAACTGCCGAATTGCGTTCTAACTGAATGACAACAGTATGTTCGTTTCTTTTAGAACGCAATTCGGCACTTTATTCGGATCGGAATTTCATTCTAATGAATGAAACTCCGATCCTATTCATGCTGTGGCTGCATCTTGCAGCCGCTTAGTAGATAGCTCCCTGATACCGTGGGAATTAGGGAGTTATCTACTAAAAGGCTGAA